AATATCTTTACACTTTAAAATAATACATTTATACTTCAAAATAATACCCTTGTACTTCAAAATGGTGCCTTTGCAATATAAAATAATATCCTTCTACCTCAAAATGATATCCTTGTACTTAAAATTATATCCTTGTACTTCAAAATAATATCCTCCTACTCAATAATAATAATAATCCTTCACTTTAAAACAGCATCCTTATACTCCATACGAGTACAAATGCATAAATATGTTCAGCAAACTCTATATACACAGTGTTCTCTCTCTCGCAAGTATACCATTAAAAATCGATAATACAAATTCGAAGTCCTGAAGGAGAAGTCTTTCATTCCCACTGACACATTTTCCACGATATACTTTCTCGCGCATGGTTCTCTCGTTTATCGAAGATTGATGGACAAACGGAAAACGGAGAACTTCGACTTGGACGAGCAGACCGGCGCTGCTGGTATTAAAACGGAGTCAATTATATCTCGTTCCCCGATACTTTGTTCTACGAGGCTGACCATTGAACTTCATTGTCCTGGATATTCTATTGTTTGCCAGCCGTACGTTGGCGAGAAGAAGCTGCCGTTTGAAAGCGGAATGCATCGCTTACGAGACGTTCCACCATCCGCGCTCAAATAAGAAAAACTCTGCGGCATATAAAATCTAGCTCGGTGTTGTTATGCGATCGCTGTGGATTCGACGACTCATCGCGCGATTAATCTAGGAACAACAAGCGATCGAGATTACCGCTGCTCCAAAATTGTGCCGCTTGCACGAAATTCCGTGTCCTAATTTTCGTTCAGTTCAAGCAACGTTTTATGTTCCTCGAATATTCTAGGAGAATCGATATTTAAGAGCTGGACGGCGAAGCTCGGGTCCGTTTCGATTACGAATATAAATATTATTTGGATATCGGTATTCGATAATTGATTGAAATTTTCGCGTGTTTCATTAAGGTATAATGAATTCTCCCTAATTGACGCTCAGCTTGTTTAAAAAAGCGGGCAATTTGGGAAGAGGAGGCCGCGATTGTTCCAGCCTCGCTGCTCGCTTTTACAATTGATTATAATTATAATATAATTTATATATATATACAATATATGGCTTATATATTATATTATAATATTATATTATAATAATATGGCTTATATAATATATATTATTATATTATGATATTATATTATAATAATATGGCTTATATAATATATATATTATTATAATATAATATTATATTATAATAATATGGCTTATATAATATATATTATTATATTATGATATTATATTATAATAATATGGCTTATATAATATATATATTATTATAATATAATATTATATTATAATAATATGGCTTATATAATATATATTATTATATTATATTATATTATAATAATATGGCTTATATAATATATATATTATTATATTATAATATTATATTATAATAATATCGCTTAGATAATATAATATAATAATATATATTTATAATATATACATATATTTAATTATATTATAATATATATTATAAATTATTATAAATTATAT